GTACATTCATAAAGTAACTGTTATGAAGGTCAAAACTGGCATTCAGGTGAGGTAGAATGAAGTACCAATGACATAGGATCTATCCGTCATATTATTAGTGGAGCTGCATATACACAAGCATTACCTAAACATTCATTCACGTAGTTGATGCTAGCCAACATATTTAAATGCATTCCAATAGTTGATGCCATAGAAGAGCCTTAAACAGCTGTGCAGTGATATAAACAGCAATAATTCACTGAGGGATGCTGCTAGATCTGTGGCAACAAAGACACTGATTAATCAACATGATATCACAATAGCAGCCTGCAATAATGTGCTCAGGGCATTTTTATGCAGTAGTACAATAGAGGAGGGTGAGGAACAGAATAGAGACCAAGGTGAAATGTATTTCTATGTATTTCTGCACAACATTCTTGTCTTTATAAGAGCAGCATACAGGGTTTCATTGCTAGTGAATTGCTTCAAGCATTTAAATAAAAAGTGTGTGTGTATACACTCTCTCTCTCACACACACACACACACAAACACACACACACACCACATATAGTTAGTTAGTTAGTTAGTTAGTTAGTTAGTTAAAAGAAGAAGCCATAATCAGACCATGGTTTGGGATGCTGGCCTGAACATGGAAGCTATGGGGAACTGCAGCTGGTTTAAAAATAGAAGTGGATTCTTCTGTTAAATTCCTCCAGCATGTGAAAAATGAAATGTTGCAATGGCTGGATCCATACTAGGGAAGTATGGTTTCCTACAGAGTCTGAACTGGGCCACAATATTCAACTGTTATTAGGCAAGCTGAGTATAGTTTGGCATGAATGACCCATGTGGCAGCCATCTTCCCTCTGGGAAGGATACTGCAATATGACATAGCATTGTTATTTCCTGGAATAGTTCCCAGGAACATGGCCAGAGCAGCCATGCCATTGCTTGAAGTGGTGGCAAGCCTTTTCTTGTTGTTAAAGAAGAAAAGAAAGGGAAAGTTGGCCACCATATATTTAGTGTAAGATGAATTTTCTTCACCCAAATCATCCTACTTCTAAAAAGGAGGGAGATTTGGTTTAATACCTACCACTCTGTGTATATAAAAGCTGTCTTTTTTAAAATTATTTGTTCTTTCTCCAAAATGTTTTTTTTTATTTCTGTAATACCATAATGTGTGTATGTGTATATCTATTTTTACAGTACAATATTTGTGTATTTGTGTGTGTGTGTGTTCAAGCAGCCGGCATACTAGATGAATCTCTGTTAAGATCTTTCCAGAAACCCAGTATAACTGTTTATACTTTTAGCTGAACAAAAGAGATTATTTCCATTATGCAATGGGAAAATGTAGTATTACTACAGTAGTGATTACCAATGACAGCTAAAAAAATGATGCAAGTGTATCTGCTTGGCCTACCCTACAGCAGCTCTGTGAATTGAATGTTAGCGTATTAACTTCAAATGTTAATTAATTTCACTTAATTTTTAGAAGATGTAGTGCTGCACCTGTTGAATACAGTGGTACCTCAGGTTACATACGCTTCAGGTTACATACGCTTCAGGTTACAGACACTACTAACCCAGAAATATTACCTCAGGTTAAGAACTTTGCTTCAGGATGAGAACAGAAATTATGCTCCTGCGGCGCAGCGGCAGCAGGAGGCCCCATTAGCTAAAGTGGTGCTTCAGGTTAAGAACAGTTTCAGGTTAAGAACGGACCTCCGGAACGAATTAAGTACTTAACCCGAGGTACCACTGTATGTCTTTTAAAAACACAGGAGGTCTACTGGAACAACAACAACAAATGAAAAAGAAGGTTAATTTTTGACTAAGCACTGTTAATTTTTGAATACATTAAGTCCTGATATTTAAATGAGAAGGACACCCACGGGAGATGTCTAGGGATAAATCTTGAAGGGATGAGCAATTAGATGTGTTAAGAAGAAACATGAGCAGTGAAATCTAGACATGTGAAGAATGCAGAAAATGGAGTGCAAAGCCCTTTGGCAAAAGTTGACAGGCTATGATGAGACGGAACAAGGAGAAACGCATCAGTAGAAAACATAAAAGCATCACAGCAGGAGAAAGAACTGCATAGGTTCTGCATTATCAGACTGTGAAGAGACTCACCCAAACAATCACTCTCAGCTGTTGCTTAAGTCAGGCAGGCACATTACTTAATTGGCATGGCAGGTAGCAAAAGTGCTTCCCCCAAAGACCCCGGTATGGCACCATCATTAAAAATCATAGCCTAAATATTTAAAATGTTATCAAAATATTGCTGCAATGCCATGAATGCCATTTAATCAGATTTCTGAAAGCGACTAGGAACTGTGTTGTGGTAACCTTTCAGAGTAACATTTTTATCAGAGAAAGCTCAGCGCTCATAATGAGAAGAATAAAACACACACTAGAAGAACTCTGCCGTTTTAAGCTGAACATGTGTTCTTGCTCTTTCCGCAACAGATTCTTTCTAATAAATATTAGTGTACCACTCAAAAATATAAATAAATCTGGAGCCGTTCAATTATTTACTTTCCACATTTTTTGTGTCCCTCAGACACTGTGGAAGGTAGCAAGGTCCCTGGTTTACTTGGGAACCCCAGGGAATGAAAGCAGGAGAGCAAATTCCTGTTGTGACTGTGACTTGGAATGATCATTCCCCCCACTCTGTAGCAGCGGAAGAGACAAAGAAGTCCCACTTTGCTGCCTCAGTGGATCAGGGTGTCCATTACCAGCTTTGGTGAGTTCCTTAACTATGCTATGACTGTTCCTTAACTATGCTATGACTGTTCCTTAACAGGATTAGTCTTGTCATCATTGCCTGTGCACTGGTAACAGTCTGGACTGCTGCAATAAGCTGTATGTGGAGCTTATGCATGATTTGATAGCTTCAACCAGTGCAAAATTCAACTGCTAGGATGTCTAGTTTTGCATATATTACACTGGTAATGAAAAACCAGGTTCAAGGTTTTGTGGTTGACATTTAATACCATAAAAAAGCCTGGCACCAGTTGCTGGAAACTTGGGTGGGTGGGAAGAGTGTTCTTGTGCTCGGGGTCCTGCTTATGGGTTTCCCATAGGCATCTGGTTGACCACTCTGAGAACAGGCTGCTGGACTAGATGGTCCACTGGCCTGATTGCCACCTGGTCACAACACAGAAGGAGGATTTCTTAGTGCTGGTGCCCATCCTTCGGAATGCCCTTCCAGAGGTTGATTTAGATGTACAGTGGTACCTCTGGTTAAATACTTAATTCGTTCCGGAGGTCCATACTTAACCTGAAACTGTTCTTAACCTGAAGCACCACTTTAGCTAATGGGGCCTCCTGCTGCCGCTGCACTGCCGCTGCATGATTTCTGTTCTCATCCTGAAGCAAAGTTCTTAACCCGAAGCACTATTTCTGGGTTAGCGGAGTCTGTAACCTGAAGCGTGTGTAACCTGAAGCGTATGTAACCCGAAAGAAGGAGGACAGAACTTTCTTTATGTATGCCACAACAGCAGCAAGAATACTTATTGCAAAGTATTGGAAGACACAGAACTTTCTTTATGTATGCCACAACAGCAGCAAGAATACTTATTGCAAAGTATTGGAAGACACAAGATCTACCCACTCTGGAAGAATGGCAGATGAAGGTGATGGACTACATGGAATTGGCGGAAATGACTGGCAGAATCCGAGACCAGGGAGAAGAGTCGGTGGAAGAAGATTGGAAGAAATTTAAAGACTATTTACAGAAATACTGTAAAATTAATGAATGTTAGAATGATGTCAGAATGAAGTTAAGTGGTTTTAGCAGCAATGTTATAAAGGTATATGTAAAAATGGATTGTTAACAGGTGAGAACCTTAAGCTATAATTTTTTAAGTTAAAGGATTAAGATAAAAACAAAGAGGGAAAGGAATTGCTGAATTAATTAACTGAACTGGAATACAAAAAAGGGAGGCGTGAGGAGGTCAGGGAAACAAGTAAATGTAAGGCATGGAAAGATTGATTTGTTTTTTTAAAGTCTCTTTTATTTTTTCTGTATTTTTTCTTTTTTTTCTTTTTCTTTTTCTTATATATGTAACTTTTTTTTCCTGGAAACCTTAATAAATATCATTAAAAAAAAAAATAGATGTACAGTGGTACCTCTGGTTAAGTACTTAATTCGTTCCGGAGGTCCATACTTAACCTGAAACTGTTCTTAACCTGAAGCACCACTTTAGCTAATGGGGCCTCCTGCTGCTGCCGTGCCGCCAGAGCCCAATTTCTGTTCTCATCCTGAAGCAAAGTTCTTAACCCGAAGCACTATTTCTGGGTTAGCGGAGTCTGTAACCTGAAGCGTATGTAACCTGAAGCGTATGTAACCCGAGGTACCACTGTACATACAGTAGACTGCATGAAATGCCCCTTTAAAATATACATGTTTACTCAAGTTTTCCTGGATACTGATTCCTAACACTTAAACTTTATTTACAGCAGAGCTTTCCAAACTGTGTGTCGTGACACATTAGCGTGTAGACTGCGGTGTGTAGGTGTGTCACTGAACACTCCCCACGCTCCTGCTGTGGCTGGAAAGGGGTTAATTTAACCTTCGGTTTGCTAGTAAAACCAAATCACTGTGTCGCAAAATGATGCATGTCTAAAAAGTGTGTCACCAACATGAAAAGTTTGGAAAGCTCTGATCTACAACATATACTTTTATCTACAGCATATTAGTTTTAAATGCTTTGTAAAAAGGTGTTACTTGATTTCCATGTGAACACACACAAGATTTCTATTTTTAGGTACTACATAAATGTTATAAATTATAAATAATAGTGTACAGAATGCAGATCAGAGAGTCTAAAATAGATAATTTTCCACCCTTCAGTCATCTGAAATAGCTTTCTGATAGCAAAATCTAGCTCAAAAGGATCATTATTTAGAATCATAGAATCATAGAGTTGGAAGAGACTACAAGGGCCATCGAGTCCAACCCCCTGCCAAGCAGGAAACACCATCAGAGCACTCCTGACATATGGTTGTCAAGCCTCTGCTTAAAGACCTCCAAAGAAGGAGACTCCACCACACTCCTTGGCAGCAAATTCCACTGTCGAACAGCTTTTACTGTCAGGAAGTTCTTCCTAATGTTTAGGTGGAATCTTCTTTCTTGTAGTTTGGATCCATTGCTCCATGTCCGCTTCTCTGGAGCAGCAGAAAACAACCTTTCTCCCTCCTCTATGTGACATCCTTTTATATATTTGAACATGGCTATCATATCACCCCTTAACCTCCTCTTCTCCAGGCTAAACATGCCCAGCTCCCTTAGCCGTTCCTCATAAGGCATCGTTTCCAGGCCTTTGACCATTTTGGTTGCCCCCTCTGGACACGTTCCAGTTTGTCAGTGTCCTTCTTGAACTGTGGTGCCCAGAACTGGACACAGTACTCCAGGTGAGGTCCCCCCCCCATATATATATTCAGAGAGACCTATTATTTCTTCAGAACACAAAATGAGAGCCTTGATTTAGCTCAATAGCACAAAAACTAGACAAAGAGAATTTAGAAAGTCATTGATAAATTAAGGGCAGAAGGAAAAAGTTATCAGAAATGAGGGGAAACTATAAATAGAAAGGAAAAAAGTCAAGTAATAGTAAAAAAAGTTTTTTGTTTCTTAAAAAAAGAAAAGACTAATGAAGGCAAGGAACATTTCCCAAAAACAAAGGGAAGAAAAAAGAACAGGGAATAAAGGAAATGGAATTTAAAAAAGGCAAGTGAACACAGATTTTTAAAAATCCAGAAGACCCTGGAGACAACGTATGCATATGAATGAAGGGAAATATTAAGACAAGTTCTTGTACGAACAGATGTTTCTGGTGTAACTCTCTGCAAGCAGCATAATTATTTTAATCAATGCTGCACACTGTATCTTGCTATGAAGTTATCAGGCGTGGCCATCAGTATCAATGAAAAAAGGTTAATAGAAGAGGAACTCCTACATGGAGGACATCTTACAGAGATTAACTAATTCAATATTTATACCAGTTTCTACAAAGGGATACATTTAGCTTTGTTCTGTATTTAAAATTGTTGCAGATATGTCCAGCTTCACTAAAGCTGGGTTAGCATTTTTATGAAGCAAACAGCAGGGATGGATCCACACGTCACTGAAGTTAACTCTTTGTGAGGCTGCCCTTGAAGTCGACCTGGAAGCTGCAGCTAGGGCAAAATGTGGCAGCTCAGCAGCTCAACTTCATGTTAAGGTAAAGGTAAAGGGACCCCTGACCATTAGGTCCAGTCGTGACCGACTCTGGGGTTGCAGCACTCATCTTGCTTTATTGGCCAAGGGAGCCGGCATTTGTCCGCAGACAGCTTCCGGGTCATGTGGCCAGCATGACTAAGCCGCTTCTGGCGAACCAGAGCAGCGCACAGAAAAGCCGTTTACCTTCCCGCCGGAGCGGTACCTATTTATCTACTTGCACTTTGACGTGCTTTCAAACTGCTAGGTTGGCAGGAATTCATGTTACACTGCTGTTAATAGAATCACACTGGCTGCTGAGTTAATTGATTGATTGATCATAATAATTTATATCCTGCCCTTCCTCCCAAAACCGGCCCAGGGTGGCAAACACACCAATGATAAAACAGTCAAAACTTCTAAAAACATGAAAACAACAATTCCCCTCCAAAAGGTGCAGATTGGGAAAGATTTCTACCTAAATGACTTGTTGGAAGAGGAAGAGCTTCAGCAGATGCAGAAAAGGCAGCAATGTTAGTGCTTGTCTAATATTTAATGGGAGGGACTTCCTATGAGTAGGTGTTACAGCACTCAAGGCCCGATTCCTATATTATGGAGAATGAACTTCTTGACAAGATGGTATTTGTAGAAGCACCTGCAGAGCACAGTAATCAGCTGAGTATATAAGGGAAGAGATGATCTTTCAATTACCTGCTAGACTGTTAAATGTGCTGGTACTAGTATAAAGCCCTATACATATTTGGAGCAGGATACCTTAAAAAAAAGTCTCATTGCTTATATAGCCATCTGATCACTGCACTCTGCAGGAGATACCATCTTAGCAGGAGGTTTATTTTACATCAGGCATAGGCAAACTTGGCCTTCCAGATGTTTGGGACTACAACGCCCATCATCCCTAGCTAACAGGACCAGTGGTCAGGGATGATCGGAGTTGTAGTCCTAAAACATCTGGAGGGCCGAGTTTGCCTATGCCTGTTTTACATAATGCTAGATTTAGGAGTTTAGCATGGTAGAACCTACCTTTGGGAACTCCCTCCTGTTATATTTTGGTCAGGCGCTGTCTCTATTGGTTTTCGGCATCAGTTGAAGACTTTCCTTTTTAGGCAAGTCTTCTGAGTGGATTTTTTTTTATCCTAATCTATATCTGTACTGGATTTGAAATTGCTTTTATATGCAATTGTTTAACTGGTTTTATAAATGTGCTTGTTTTTATACATGCAATAATTTCATATGTGCTTTAAATCCACTGCGAAATCGCTTAGAGGTGCTTCATAGCAAGTGTTCCATAAATGAAATTAATAATAATAACAACTTTGTTGGTTTCAACCCAGTACTGTAGCAGTATTTCTGGAGTGCTTTCTTGTGATGGCTGGGACTTCATCAAGTCTTGAATGTTCAGGCTGTGGAACTAAAATTCAAATGGTGTAGAGAGACTGAAACAAGGAGATTCCCACTGTGCAATAATGTTGTGAGTCGATGCCCCCTCCCTACTTTGTAACGAAGTAAGACACATGGACACGTATTTTAGGTTAATGAGCTCTATTGGTTACAGAATGTGAGTGGTATTGGCTTAGGCATTGGATCCGAACAGACTACACTTGACTCCTGCCCGCTCTGCAGGGAGTCACACCAGGGTTAACAACCTGTAGGGGGAGCCTGTTGATGCGAATCAACTGGAAGCTTTCCCCTGGAGTAACCGGAGGGTCGTGCCATGGCCCTAGCCACCACCTGGGCATCCGACAGGAACCACCACCACCGGATTCCTTTAATGGAATACCCTTCAAGGGGAGGGGTAAGTGATGGCCACAACCTCCCCTCCGACACACAACGCCATTTCCAATTCCTAACCGCCAAACCTTACAAAGTTGTGATGATTTGCTACGAGGTAGGCGAAAAAACCAAGTGGCTGGAGCCAATCTGCCAAGTGGAAAAAATTCCTGCCAGGCCCCTTGGACAACCAAGGCGACCAACCGAGGTCCATAGCAAGGTTAGGTGCTGAGGCAAAACCTAAAGGGAGGGAGGGCGGGTGATCTGAGGAAGCCAGGAACAAGAAGGAGGAGCTCGTCGGTCCGCAGCCATTTTAAACGGCTAAACCACGCCCATCAGCCAGCCAGGTTGACTGGCTGAAGTGCATGACACGGGCCCAGGCCTTCAGTGACGCAGGGGGCCCGGCCACGCCCACCTGCGAATGCGGGAAGCGATTCCCGCTCACAACCTCTCCCCTCCGGGAAGAGGAGAGGCTTTCTGTCAACATGTCATTGAGAATGAAGTGGCTGTTCCTAGCCTGTAGGAATGTCCCTGTCAAAAGGCATAGACCCACAACTATAGATGTTCCTATAGTATATTCCCTGATAAGGCCCTAGCTCTTTGTCTAATCAGCCACGTGGCATATGTATGAGCTTTTCCATATAAAACTAAGCAGCTAACTGTACTGCATTAATCGGACTGTATTTTATGGAGCAAAATAGAGCAGAAATTTTTGTTGCTGTTAAATTAAAAAGCAATTAACTAACCGAGTACAATCCTTTGCTTTAAATTCAAGATAAAGACACCACAACATTTATTATTGCTCGAACACATTTATTTGCACTACCGTCCTAGGCATGCATATTCTGAAGAAAGCCCCCTAATAAATGTACGTAGGATTGCAATCTAATAATATATTGCATATCAGTAATGCTGTAAAGATGGTAATGTGAGCGTATTGCCATCATGCATTCAAATAAAAATTAGACAGGGGAGTGCGATGGTTTAGCAGCTCCATCCCAAAGTTAATGTAAAGCTGCATTAAACCTTTCAGTGTGCTGAGGAATTAGGACCTCATAAACTATGGAATGTGTATCATTCACAGTGCATATTTTTTACGGTTCTGCTAGTAACAATCACATATATACTGCAAATGCACAAAAAGCAAAGTGGAAAAATTAGTCACTTCAGGAACACTTTGACATAATGTGAATTTAAAATAAGTTTGTGGATAAAACTGATTAATGGAATGCTTACAGGTTGCTATGTGGCAATTTCAGATCAATCTATTTTCCCCCCTTATGCTTGTTTAACATATGTAGGTGTTCGTTTCATTTACAAATTGTGTGAAGAAAAAGTTTGGGACATGCTAACTCTCTCTGCCTCCCTCCATCATGCACTTGCCACCAGTCCCCCTGCCCTCCACACGCTGAAGGGTGAAATAATAATAATAATAATAATAATAATAATAATAATAATAATTGTGGAAGATCTGACCATGTGCAAACCTCTCTGAATGCAGCAGCATCCCTGCTGCAGACATTTGCCTCCCCCACCCAATGTGTAAGGAGAAGAATGCCTGAACAGAGCTATAATTTGATCTGAACAATAAGGAATAAATACTGAAAACAAACGGAACAAATTTTATTTGCTTATTGTGGTAATACATAATTAGCTGTGAACTGGCCAACCTAAGGGGGTTGTGGCATGCATTTATATTAGAAACTACAAAGGCAATGAGTTAGCGTTTTTTGTGATACGTATGGCCTTTAAAAAAAGAAAACCCATGAAACATACATAGATCAGAAAAATAAATAAATAAATAGATAAATAATATTGTAACTTCCATAAATGCTGGTGAAAGCTATCGATGCCTTTATGAAATGTACTAAACAAAAAAACTACATTTTAAAGCACATCAGACAATGAATGCATGTGTTATACTACTGGCACACCTGCAATAATTATTATAGAGAGATTAGTGAGTCTATTCTATGCTCTGATAGCTCCATGTAGTGTTAGTTTAGTGCACTGAAGTGCATGTAATAGACTGAATTCCCTGGTGCTTCGAACAGACATCCAATTACAAAGTACTTGCACACTTTGTGTTTTTGACCTTGCCCATAACAAAATCTGAGAATGATGTACCAAGTCACTTTAAAATTGTGGAAAGCTAATAACAAACAAAATGCAGTAGCCTCCCTGAAAACGTTTTATATTTAAGAGTAATCACAAGAATATTAAATATGTACACAATACTGAACAGTAAATAGGGCCAAAAGAATGTGTAATGACCCCATGTATTCAGTCAAA